AGCAAGGCTTCATTGACTACCTTGCTGCTCTCCTCTTGGGCTACTCCTTCACCACCCTTTAACCCTAGCTGACATTACTTTTGGGTATCTGGGGTGTGAATAGGGCTCTTGCCAGATGCTTGCAGACCACAGGGCACTGAGAGCTTTCTCAAAGCTGGCTTGTTTGTCTACTACCGCTCTGACCGCCACCTGAAATACTGGTAGAATTTTCTACATATGAAATCCAGGAAAGACAGTAACCAGAATAGTAATTACCTAGATGTGTGGCAAGGGAGGTTGATGGGAAATTTGGCGCTAACCCCAGTGAATACAAGAAAGAAGAACGTATTCTGAATTGGACCGTGGTGGTGTTTGCAAAACACTTTTTAATATGTGTGAACTTTTAAATTGTATGATATGTGAAATATATGCCAATAAAACTTTTTTAAAAATAAGGAAGAATAGTGTCTGGGATCTTAAAGGCATCAATTTAAATGAGGTGCCAAATAAAGCTGCAGAAAAAAAGCAAACCTGCTTCTATGACCCAATGATTTGGAACAGTGAAAACAAAAGGCGGAGGAGGGAATTGCATTTGAGCAGAAGGTTATGGATGACAGTGAAAGGCCAAAATTGAACAGGGATGGGAACAGACAGGGTACAATGGAAAGTGGATTGCTGCAAATAGAGTTAGGTTTAAATTCAAAACCTAAGCATTTGCTTTATATTTTTATCTATTTTCAATTTGTTCTAGTTTTTATGACGTTCTGCTTTCTTCTGAAATGAGGTTTATGTGTGTGTGTTTTATTTACTGTTATTGCTATTTTCATCTCTTTCTTTTTATATGATTTCCTTTATATGTAATGCAGGATAAGCGATCTTATAAATATAATAACTGAACTAATGCTTTCTTGAGGTGATGACAGGTGAGGTTTGTGGGGCAGGGGTTGTTAATAGCAATAGATAAAAAAATGAATAAAATGTTCTAAGGTTAACTGTTGTGATTACTGCACAAGTCTTGTTGATGTATTTGAACCATTGAATTATATGATATGTTAATATGATAATAACAGTTTAAAAAAGATAGACGTGTGTCTAATAGGTCACCTAATCTTGAAAATCCCAAGGTGTATTTGTACACTTGCCACGTGGGGAAAGTAAGATTCAGAATCAATTCAATGGAAAATAACAAAACAATATTAAAGACCATAATTGATATGTCAAGGAATGTTTTAAACCATCATATTTAAACTGTCAGAACAATGTGCAATTAAGATTTCAGAAGCACACCGAGGATGAATACCAAATAGTAGCCCATGTACTCTCAAATGACTTGGAAAACGTTAGAGATACTTGGCTTCATTCCTCAACCAGGCTCCATGGAACTGCGTGCTACCACAAACAACTTTGGGCCCGCCCACATGCCCACACCTGCCAATAATGAATGGAACCCACATCCGGGTCCCAATCACTTCCTTTAAATGAACTTCACATCCGGGTCCTAAAGCAGCCCGCGGTACCCTTTCTGAATTCAACGTCTGTGTCAGAACTCTCGCTTGGCAAGGCAGCGAGGACTCTGTTAAATACAGCCTGCCTCTTCCAAAGCTCCATCATCCACCGGGTCATGGCATCGGCGTCTTTACCTGAGGCGTGCCAGGACTACCAGAAGGAATGTGAGGCTGCCATCAACCAGCAAATCAGTCTCGAGCTTCGCGCCTCATACACTTACCTCTCCATGGCCTGTCACTTCAACCGCGAAGACGTGGCCTTGAAGAATTTCGGTGCCTACTTTATGCGGCTGTCAAACGAGGGCCTTGACTATGTGGAGTCGCTGATGCAGCTGCAGAAGCAGCGCAAGGGTCGCATCCAGCTGGGTGACATCGCGAAACCTGATGTGGACGACTGGTGCAGCCCAATATTCGCCATGGAGTACACCTTTAACCTGCAGCAGAACATCAACCTGAGCCTCCTGGACCTGCACTGGGCCGCCACCGAGCAGGATGACAAGCAGCTGTGTGACTTCCTGGAGATCCGCCTCCTGCAGCAGCAAGCCAAGACTATCAACGAGCTCGGCAACCACCTGATCCAACTGCGCCTTCTGCGGGACCAGGACTTCTGCCTGGCTGAGTACCGCTTTAACAAGCTCAATCTTGATGACGGCAACACGGAGAGCTGCCCCATGGACACAGAGTGACTCTTGTGTTCTAGTATCACTCAGGCGTCCTGCAGTTACAACCAGATCACTTCTCTTTCTTTTCTCATCCAAGTTTGCCGTTCCTTCCAATAAAGTGACTTGGTTTCAAACGTTAAATAAATAAAGGTCTCCTGTGTCATTCTTTTGTGTGAAACACTCCCTCCTTTAAAAAAAAACAACATGCAAAAATCCCCATACAGGTATCCAGGAATCTCATCAGCCAGCCAGCTCTGTCCTTATGCAGCTTGGATGTACCCGGATGGAGGGAGAGAAAAGGTATGTGAGGAAAGCCTGGCAAATGCAAAATGAATCTTCCCTTATAACTAAGTAGGAGTGTGGGGGGCAGGGGTCAAGGCCTATCTGAGTGACAGAGCAAGCATGTGAGTAGTAAAAGTATAAACTTATCCATTGGAATTCATGACAGTTGTGGCTTGGGGGTGGAAGCGTGAAAAGGAATGCAATTGGGAGACATTAAAACAGTTTTTTATTTCAGCCTAAAATATTTACCTTATTAAACTATGTAATTGTTACCATTTGTGTGGTTCTGGGTGAAAGACTCAGGAGGTTCCAGAAGTGGACATGGCAGAATACCTGTTTGATGAAATTATTCTAGACAAGGGAGCTTCACTATAGCCAAACAATGATTCCTGTGCTCATGAGTGCCAGGCAAGCAAGCTGCAGTTACAACACCTTCACGATTTTTCCTTCCCTTCTATGGCTACCATGTATCCAATTAAATGAGGTGGTACCAGACTTAAAGAAATTAAGGTCTCTGGGTATTTCTTGTTTATGCAACATAAACTACTGTTAAGAGCAGGCTAAATCCCATGCATATATTATGTGGTCTTGCCGTGAGGATCATTCCTTGAAGTGGATAAGAAGTTTGCTCAAATCAGCAGCCAATTTCACTGAGATCTGGACAGAGTGAGTATGGGGGTGGGGGTGGAGGTGTGCTTCTGAAAGATCTATAATACAGGCCAAGGGCTGTAACACGTTAGCATTACTAGTGCAGGAAATGGCTCACCAGAACAGTCCAACAGGAGCCTGGCCGCAAAGTAGGTGTAACAGCACAAAGGTGCTGGTAGGAAAACAGAGAAGAAACGAAGAAGGCTGCTACCTTGGCCATAAATAGAACCAGGTAGCAGCAGAGAGGTCCACGGAGTGGAGGTCAATGGCAAAGAGGTCAATCTAAGTGATGTCATATGTTGTTTGTCCTTTGGTGATTGTCTTAGTACACTCAGCATAATGTCCTGAAAGTTCATCTATAGTCCGAGTTGTAATATAGATCCATTGTTAGAGTATAATGCCCATCATTATTTCATTTTGTGTGTATCATAGCTTGCTTATACATTTTTCCTGTGATGGCGTTTAGGTTGGTTTCACCATTCTGCTATTGTGAATAATGCTGGGATGAACATGGGTGTGCATCTATCTATTTCCATCAGATTTTTTGCACTGGCTATATATCAAGGAGAAGAATTGCTAGGTCATATGGTATTTATATTTCCAACATTATAAGGAAGCATTGTACCGCTTCCCAGGGTTGTTGCACCCATTTTCAGTCTGACCAGTAGTGTATGAGGCTTTCAGTCCCTCCATACCTTCAATACCAGGCAGGTTGTTATTGTATGGTCTTTAGACATTTGCTGTTACAGATGAGGTGAAATGACACTTTATGATGAATTTGAGTTGCATCTCTTAAATGACTAATGTGTATGAGTAACTATTCATATGCTTGTTGGTGAGGTGAATGTTTTCTTTCTTTGTTTCAAGTACCAATACGTGTTCATCTATTCACTGTATTTTCTCATGGAAAAGAGAGGACGAGGCAATAAGAATCAGCCTATGTTACAAAGTGATACAAAGGAAAGGATGTCAAGATATAGAAAAATCAATCATCCTACACACTCCAGTGATGGGAAGAGTCATCAATGCCCAATAGGGCTCAGCCTCCCACAGTTCAAGAATGAGGGGAAGGGATCAGGGAAAGAACAGATAAGTATCCCCTTTCCTACCTTCGCTCCCTTCCCATAAATTCAGGATTTTGCATAAAATTTTGGTTTCTAACAGTAAACATGGAGTTACATTTATCCATCTCCTATTAAAAGAAGCATGTGCCTACTTTGGCATAAGTTTCCTGCACCTGCTAAAAGGTCCTCAGTGATTTAGAAATACATTCATAGTCACTTTCTTGGTCTCCCATCCTTGTTTTCTGCTTGGAAGCCCCCTGATGCATCTCTCTACCCTATGAGCCCATCATTGGAGAACAGCTCTGGTCTAACAACAAGTAAGAACTGGTCTTGACTCAGAAGGTAGGGAATGAAGGGTGAACTGTTCCTAGCCTCTTCAGTTTGTTTTTTAAGACAATGTATGAAGTTGTGAAGACATCTGCAAAATTAAATATGTAGGCTTAGAAAGTGGTGGTAGGAGTGGAAGGCATTTCATTTCCCATCAAGACCATTTTCTCCCTAAAATAAACCAAATGTTCAGTGGTACTTTGCTTCAGGATACTTTCTCTTCATTTGTGAATTAGAAGAATATTATTGGGCTAAAGTACCCCCAAAGTGTATATACTATATGGAGAAAAACAAACGTAGTGACATTTTGAAAGGACTTGATGAAAAGAAAAGTAAGGCCATTTATTGAACAAGGATTAGAATGAATTTCCATCACCACATTTAACTCATCGTCAAATTAAAATGCATTTCACCCCCAGAAATGGTTGATGGAATAACAGTACAACACTGAGTTCATAGTACCACCAGCTCTCCATTATATGATGTAAAACAAACCAAACTCATTGCCTTAGTGCGGATGTCAAATCATGCTACTCTGTGTGGATTTCTGAGCCTGTAACTATTTATGGGACTACTCTGAGCTGCTGGTGTTTGCAAACTGCCGGCTGTACAGATCAGTGTCCACATCTTAACCACTACTTACCCACCCACCATCGAAGAAAATGAAAGAAAATGTACTGCTATCAAGTTTATGTGGTCTCATAGGGATATCCCTATGGATTTCTATGTCTAACTACCTGTTTACAGAAGTAGAAAGCTCTGTTTTTCTTGGCCTGAGTAGCTGGTGGTTTCAAACTGCAATCCATGCACTTCGCAATACTCTGCATAACCACTACACCAACAGGGCTCCTAACCACTACATACTCAATGGAATTTGTGAGTTTGTTCTATGAAGGTTTCCAACACCTGGAATATGCTTTACTTGGGAGTACAGATAAGTGTATATCCCAAGGAAAACACCTTTGATTTCTCTCTTGCGTCCAGGAGAGTGAGGGGCCCAGTTCACGTTGGAAGAATTTATTAAGTCCAATTGGCTAGCATTTCTCAACCTCAGTAGCCAAATTGTGCCTTAATGTGAACAATCTGAACGGAGGCTTCAAAGACCAGTGGTAAGTGGGATTGACAATATTAACGAGTCCAGAGAGTCCTAGAGATTTCTTTCAGATGATTTCTTCAATGATTGTTATTTTCAATAAACCACCCAGGCTGCACTAACATACGCAGAATAAAATCAGCAAAGTCGGCATTCATTACTAGAGGCAAATAACTATGATGGATCTGTTTTTAAAGTGCCTGTGATGTCCTGGTAAGTTTAATTTGAGTTGTATATGCAGTATTTATGATTAAGAACAAAAATGAAACTGGATGCCTCTGTAGAGGATTCCTTAAGGAATTCAGTGGCTTGGCAGCAAACCCTCCAAAGCTTTTGTAACAAGAAGTGCGAGTGACTGCATCATGCGGAATGAAGTCATTAAAAGCCCACATGGAAGAGGCACACCAGCCTGTGTGATCACGAGGTGTCGATGGGATCAGGTATCAGGCATCTAAGACCCAGAATAAAACCATACCCAAGGTGAAT